TCATCTCTTGGGTTGTTGGAAAAGAGTGTTTGCTATGACCATCGTATTCTCTTGACAAAATTCTACCAGCCTGTGCCCTGCTTCATGTTGTACTCCAAGGCCATGCTTGCCTGTTATTCTGGTTATCTTTTGGCTTCCTACTTTAGCATTCCAATCCCCCATGATGATAAGGACATCATTTTTGGGTGTTAATTCTAGAAGGTGTTGTAGGCCTTCATAGAACTGGTCAACTTCAGCCTCTTCAGCACCAGTGGTTGGGGCATAGACTTGGACTACTGTGATGCTGAATGGTTTGCCTTGGATTCAAACTGAGATCATTCTGTCATTTTGGAGATTGTATCCCAGTACTGCTTTTCCTACTCTTGTATTGACTATGAAGGCTACTCCATTTCTTCTGAGGGATTCTTGCCCGCAGTAGTATACCTGATGGTCATCTGAATTAAATTCACCCATTCCTGTCCATTTTAGTTCACTGATTCCTAAGATGTCAATGCTCAGTCTTGTCATCTCTTGTTTGACCACATCCAGCTTGCCTTGATTCATGGATCTTACGTTCCAGGTTCCTACGGAGTATAAATCTTTGCAGCATTGGACTTTCCTTTCACCACCAGATACATCTGCAACTGAGTGTCCTTTCGGCTTTGACCCAGTCGCTTCATTCTTCCTGGCGCTACTAGTACTAGCCCTCCGCTCTTCCCCAGTAGCATATTGGACACCTTCCAACCTGAAGGGCTCATCTTCCGGCATCATATCTTTTTGTCTTTTAGTACTGTCCACGAGGTTTTCATGGCAAAGATACTGGAGTGGGTTGCCATTTCCTTCTCCAGTGGATCACATTTTGTCAGAGCTCTCTGCTATGACCTGCCCATCTTGGGTGGCCCTGCATGGCATAGGTCATAGTTTCATTGAGCTATGCAAGCCCCTTCACCATGACAAGACAGTGATCCATGAAGGAGCCTAACTGTTAACTTGTATATTCTCCAAAAATACCACTTCCTATAAGCTTAATCAGGGTTTGATTCTATCTTCTGCTTTTGTGTTTATGGATTATTGTGCTTGGTAAGCACCACTGAATTTTCTCAAACCATTTAATAAAATGTTTACCTGAAATTCTTATATATAACAGAGAGGAGCCAAATAGAATTTTTGGTGTTTCTCAGAAGTAGGAACACTATCTAAGTCCCACCCTCATGACAGACAGTTGTCTGTCACAGGACTGATGGGACTTACACCCGGAGAGCATAAAAGGAGCTAGAATACAGTAAAACAGAATGCCATACAGAACATGTTCTGGTTTGAAATGTATGTTAAAGTGGAATGAAAATAGTGATTGCTGTCTGGCTGTACCAGCAGCAAAACCAGCAATAAAGTAAGCAGGCAAAGATACAACTGAAGGTCAAGTCCTGCTGAAAATAAATTAGTATAGTTTCTGCAGATCTAAGTCCTACTCAACTGCAGTTTGGGGGGGGGGGTGTTTATTGACAACTGCATGAAGTGATCTGATAGACATTGGCCTAAGTCAATGCAGCCTACTTCGTGTTGCAGCCCTGGTCTGCTGCAGCATGTGCTGACAGACCTAGTGAATATTCAAGCTGTAGCAGGCAGCCACAACTATTTATGATGGTAATTCAACTCTGTGCAGGGTGGGTTGTTGCTGTGGTTAACAGATCACACAAAAAAGTCATTTCAAAGTCCAAGTAAACAAAATTCCTCACCAAAGGTTCTTAAACAAACTTGGCAGTCATGGGATAAGGGGAAAAGCCCTCTTACAGTTAAAGAAGAGAACATACAAATAAATGTCCAGTTCTTGCAACTGAGAAATGTGAACAGTACGGTCCTCCAAAAATTCTTTTGGAGCCAGTGCTAACTTGTTCTTAAATTATCTGGATTTAGAGGTGAGGAGTGAAGCAGCCAACCTTCAAAAAACAACAGATTATTGAAGTTGGTTAAAACCAAAAGGGTTTGAACTCTAGGAGGCTCTCTCCAAAATGGGGAGATACGCATTAAAATGGCAAATAAGGTTCAGTATAAGCAACTGTAAAGTGAATCATTTGAGCAAAAAACATTTTAGTTTTGGACATACCAGGGAGTTTGACCCAGTGGCCTTCTTAGGCCCCTTCCAATTCTACTATTCCATGATTCTGTGATATGCTGATGAGAGTCTCACCAGGGAACCATGGGGTTGCAGTAAGTAGCCTAATGAAATGTTAACCAGCGTGCTTTTCACTGCTGTGAAAAAGGGAAATATGATGGAGGCCTTCGAAAACAGCTTAGGATGTGTGCAGCAGTGCAAACAGGAAAAGAAATCCCTGCTATGTGAACAGACTTCAGTTGTGCAATTCTGTTCCCACAGCCTGAGGAAAGCAGCACCATGAGTAGGTTTGCTGGTGCTCAGCTCCATTCTCCGTATTTGCCGCCCTTCAACATAAATGCAATGCCTGATAACATATGTGTTTGCACCATGGATAAAAATGCAGGCACTGTATTTGGTAATCTAGGATGGGCAAGTGCATTCAAGAGCACTGCCACCTCAGATAAATGTTTTGGGTATTTGTGAGTGGCTGCAACAGACACGTTTGCAGCAACTAAGACAGTGCTCTACTGCATTCTGTGCCAGATGTTCACCACTGCAGAAGGTGGCATGGTTCAGGATGGGCCCTCTTGAGCCCATGGGCAAAGGTCCAGTTGTCCAGCCATTACAGCACCTAGTCATTAGACCCTCCTGCTTCCTTTTTTTTAGTTGGTCAGCATCCACACAGAACACAGCACCCAATCCCAAATGCTCGTGGATTTTGGGATGGCCCATGCTCATGTATTTTAGAAAATCAGGAGGGGTAAGAACGAAAAAGGGTTTAAGGCACCGTTTCCTTCTACTTTTCATGTGTCTGGATGATAGCACATAGAACCACTGGCTGGCAGCAGTTAGAAGAATAAATCTCGAGATGAAGGACAGGTACACTGCTGTGCTCAGTGACTTTTAAACTGCTGTCCTTTTATCTGTGCCTCTTCACTAGCGGTTGAAGATGGCCACACACAGATGTCTCCTGTCTCGTATTATCGCCTTGGCTGTCATCTTTAAAATAACAGAAATTCTTTAGGAAAAGCAGAGGATGGGAGTCCAATCTCTGCCTGTCACGTAGCTGTTAAAGGTAACTTTTCTAGTCAAGCAGTCATCAAAACGCTTGAAATAATTGAAACGTGCTAAAGAAATGCCCATTGCCATCAGCATCACTACTAGCGCAGCAAAATGACAAATATTGTTCCCCTTCCATTTATAGCTTGCCCTTTTCCCTCTGGAGGTGGCTCCGCTCCACGAAGGAAGCCACATCCTTGAATTTGGAAGGCTGAGCTGGGCTGCCATGGAGTGTTTTGACAGAGACGACTGCACGGCATAAGAGCTTCACCCTCTGGCCAGGAGCCCAAGGCAGCTCACGAGGTTCTCCGCCTCGCCATTTTCTCCTCACAACAGCAGCAGGTCCCGAGGGCACGCGGGCCACGCAGCCGCCGCCGCCCTCCCCATAACCGCCTCGAAACGGCGCCCACCTCGTGGGGAGACGCTCGCCGAGCACACACGCGCGCACCGGCCGCCATCTTAGATTACCCCAAATGCACCGCAAGGGCGCCGCCGGCGCTGCGGAGCATGGCATGCGGGGTCAGCTAAGATGGCGGCTGGCGGGCGGCTCTGAATAGAGGTTCTGCGAGACCCGTGCTTGCTTCGAAGCGGCGCCCCACCGCACCGAGAAAACCGCTGGGGTGAGGAAGCAGCAGGCGGGCCGGGGGATGGAGCTGCCGCACTGCTCCGGGGCTGAACGGTCCTGCAGCTGCCTCTCGGGTGGTGCTTTGTTGCAGGAGCCCTTGAGCTCTTCGTGCCTCGGAAGAGGCGCCGTGGTGGTGGAGGCGTCCTGGGGGGCGGCGGGTCTCAGTCCTTGGTTCACTGTGAAGGTCAGTAGTGAAGGTTTGGGGCATTGCCGGCGAGTCACGTTGTTTTCAGGGCTGCTTGCCTCCCATGAGTGTTTTGAGGAAAAACGAAGATGAGCCGTTCTTACTCCTTTCCTTAGCCCTTCGGATTGGATGGGAAATAAATTTGAGCAGACAGGAGGGGCTGGGGCAATGATCCTCGAAGTACTCTGCAGGTGTCTGAGGCGTAGAACAGGCAGTTTTTGTTTTGCATCCATGCAACATATCTCTCACCTCTGTTCCTGAGGAATAGCTTTTCCTGTAGCTTGTTAAAGCGTCAGATTACCAAAAACGCATGTTGCTAAACAGGGATATTCAAAGCAAAACAACAGTCCCCGCCCATCTCACGTGTGTAAATGTTTAGGATGTTGGTGCGATATGCATTGGTGCGATATGCACTGTTGTGTCAGTATGCATTGAATATGAAATTGTATCCTATACGATAAAGATCTCAAAATGGTTTGTAGAAGATAGGTTGCCACATCAGAACGACTTCCCATACCTTGCTGAGTGCCTTATAGTTGGGTGGGGATAAGACACACATTCAGAAGCCCTTCTGTCCACTCGCATGGAAACATTTTTGGTGAGATGTAGGCAGCCAGGAGGATGAGGGAAAATCATTCAGTTTTGGTGCGACTTCATGCACCTTCAAGCAATGAAAGCATAGGTATATGCATGGTTAAAATAGTCTTTTTCATTATCTGAATACCTGAATGGAGTATAGAGGACAATGCGAAATAGAGAAGGGTGCAATTAGCACAATCTTTGTTGTTTTCTCTACCTGGTTTGTGGTATCTAAGATTGGGTGCTGTATAATATCCTAATTTTTCATCAGTTGTTGTCAAGTATGTTTAAGCTTAGTGCTTAATGGAGACTGCATAAAATACATAGATTTGCTAACTTGAGCTCTTTGAAGAAAGGGTAGGATGCTATTTCAGCAAATATTTCTTTTTCAATATTCTCTCAAAAATATTGATTTGTATCCATTGAGTGGATGTCTGCTTATAGGATGTTGGATATGGTCCATTATGGGCAAAATAAAAGACAATCACTTTGAGAAACTTGAACACTAGATAGCTCAATTTTCTCCAGAGATCTTGCATTTTATTAAAATCAACAATTGTTCTTTATAACAGAGGATGCTAGTTCCTTTGGTACTGTGTGCAGCCCTACTGATAGGAAGAAGTGCAACTCAGGATAATGAATGGATTGATCCAACAGACATGCTGAATTATGATGCAGCTTCAGGAACAATGAGAAAACCTGATAAGGTAGATGTATAGTTGCTGTTTCTTTAGTGTTGAACTTTGAGGCCAATCCTTTATATAGTTTGTCTTCTAGGCATCCTGCTCATCTTACCTGTATTAGATGCCTGGCACACTTCCCATTACAGGACTTACTGACTCCCAATCAAATGACAAATAAAAATAATCTTGAAGGAAGAGGATTAGAAGGGAGTAGGTTCTGAAAGCCCCCTCCCCTTTTTTTGCATTTTATTTGATGTCTACTTTTAATCTGATCTAAATCACATCCATAGGAGTGTGCAGAAGAATTTTCATTCATATTAGGGTTTGGAACAACCCCTTGTGCTGGATACATTTTTTCAAGTGAGTGCATAAAGAGGTTGAAGGAAATATAAGGTAGCCCCTGTTTGTATGGGGTTTTTTTTAAATGTATTCCATGGCTGGAGTATATTGAACCTAATAAATCAATTGGAAAATATATCTTTGGATATGAACATATTCTACAGTGTAATCAAGTCAGTTAACTTACATTGCCTTGGTGATACACTTTATTAAGTTTAGATCCAGGAATAAACATACTTAGATTAGACCTGCTTAAATCAATGTGACTTAAATTTAGTTGATTTCAGTGGGTCTACTGCAAGCATGACTGGATTCAACTCACTGCATTCAACTACAGCGAGTAGTAAAGTTTGTTGATTTCTCTCTATGTGTCTAATTATATATTTCCATATAAATATGCCAAATGAAGTAGCAAGATCAATGTAAAGATTCTAGTTATATATATATTCACAAGAGTAGAAATACTAAGACATGCATATGGTTAAAATTATTACAGGTGAATCAGGATGTTTCTGAAATTAAGGAAGTGGCAAAAGAAACAATGACAGAAGAAAATATTGATTCCAAGTGTCAAAGTAGATTACATTCCATAATACATAAGGTTTGTTCGCACGTATGCTTCTTTATGCTGTATATATTGCAATAATCTCTAGATTTTTAGCTGGTAGATGTAGCAGGATATATGTTGCAATTCTACTCTCTTAAAAGCATTTGGATTTTTGTTACTGACATCATCAGGACCAGAATTGTTTGTTGAATAGAGACACAATCCTATGGGTGGATTCAGAAAAAAAAGACTTGTAGCTCCCAGCATGCCCAAATCAGTATGAGTCTTGCATAGGATTGCATTGGAATAGGATTGCATTTTTTAAAATATTCTTAGCTGGAGAGTTTCACTGATAAGAGAACTCTTGCAGATTTCGCCTTTCCCTTGGAGTGCAAATAACAGTATGAAGTGTTCAGTTTTTGCATTGGATCTTCCACTCCGAGAGGAAGGTGTGAAGGGAGACTGCACACATGAAATGTAGAGCAAATATTCTGCAGCGGGGCTCATTCAGATTCTACATATTCGCCAGGATACCTGAAGGAGCATGTGTGCCAACACATTCTTGCCCATACATTTTATTTTTTGATGTTTATCTGGCATCTGAAGTGTGGCACAGGGCTACTGAGGAGAGATCCTTTCAGTGGTACTTTCATGTCTCCAATTATTTGCATCATGAGGAATTTGCCTTTTTAATGATTACAGGTCTATACAACTTGAGACCTTTCAGGTTGAACGCAATCCACCAGCTCTATCAGGAATGCATAGCCCATCCACCCCAGGGGATGTTGGAGCCCAGCTTTCATCATCCCTAACAATTGACCATGTGGCAGGGACTGATGGGAGTTGGAGTCCAACAAAAACTGGAAGCCTGGAGGCTGCCCACCCCTTAGCTATGTGCTGTAACCTATCTGTGGCTTAGTAACTCACTGTTTTCATAATTCCTAGCAGGCTGTGATGCCTTGCCCCAGGTAGAGGGCCTTTTTTGGTGGATGAGGCTTATTTGTCTTGATGGGTCATGCATTGTAGAGATCTTGTTTGAAAGCAGGTTTCCATAGTTGTCTGGCTGTCAGATTACTTGAACAAATGTATGAATTAATTACAAATGCGATAAATAAACAAACAGGAGCAAACATTTAAGTTCTATTTCTTTTAAGGAGATTGCATCATGAAAGGGTATTAAAGTCCAGAATGCTTATGCAATTGACTCACACCTGACCAAAAAGAAACACCAGTTACTGACATTATGTCAGTCTAATAAATATACAAGTCATATACAGTATAGAAAATATACAATGAATCTTTGTTTGGGCAGGGTAGCTTTGTCTTTGTCATCTCAGTTTTATGTAATATATGAATTAAAGACTTGTTCTAGGAGAAATGCGTCATATTTAAGCATTTTATTTTTTCAGCTTGAAGACTGTGAAAAGAAAGATAAAGCCAAGTTCCATGAAAACAATAGCATTTACATTTTTAAGCGATACTTGAACAAAATTTTAATAGAAGTCAGAAGACTTGGTCTAGTGAGTATCTAAGTACCATCTAAAAATTCTGAGCATTTTTACTATGTTTAATATCTCACTTAAAAGTAAAACCCCTTGCTAAAACTTTCAATGTAATCACTGGCATGTTAAATGCCAGCCATTAATACATTTACTTAGACTTTTCTTTCAAGTAATCAGGGTAGCTAAAACAAATTATATTACAGGGGTGGCCAAACCGTGGCTTCGGAGCTCCATGTGGCTCTTTGAGTTTATTTTGCTGCTCTCAAATATCTGACATTTACCAGATGTGGCTCTTCCATTGAGCAAGTCTGTTCACCTCTATTACATTACAAATGCCTGTCAATAATAAAAAATAAATAAAATGCCAAAACAACCTATATATGTTAAGAAGGGATGGCTTCTCTTGACTTACATGGGGTGTAATCTGGGATATAAAGCTTGGATCATGTCCTTTATAAGAAAATCCTGAGCCTGGAGCTTCTGTAACCACTGTACTGAATAGATTATTACCACTGTGATACTGGAGTGGACAACTTGTGGTCCTCCATTTGTTTTGTCCTAAATATTCCATCTTTTCACTGACTATGCTAGATAGCATGAGCCATTGTATGATATGGCATGAATGCTGGCTGTCAGGACATGCACATCCCTGCTTGTTTCTGGGGAACAGTTTGGAGTTTAACTTGTTGGAGAATTTGTACTTTATTTTGCATTGAAGACAAAGTATGATGCAGAGAAATCAGTAATTATTATGTCTCAATACAACAGATTGGTCCAAGCATTGGACTGTTTTGTCCACCCAAGTGCTGCCACCACAGCAGCCAGTCAGTATTTACTGTGGAACTGCTCAGTTGACATGGTCAGGTTGCTTTGTATGTATTACTTGTCTCTGATTGTTTTCAGTCGTCAGTTCAACAGTTGTTTTATGTTTTCTTTTAGCCTGATGATAACACCGGGGATATGCATTATGATGCTGCAATCATCCTTACTAAAACGACTTGTAATGAAATCAATAGATTCCTTAATGATGAGAGCTGGAAAACAGCGGCTTTAGATGAAGCACTTAATAATATTGTGATCAATTTTAGGCATCATGATTATGAAGCTTGGAAATGGAAGTTTGAGGACACATTTGGGGCGGATCCATACAATGTCTTCATGGTGAGAAACCATCTGTAATGTCTTTTCTGCATGGCACTATAGTGTTTCTGATGTTATGCTGTGCTATCTGACTGCAGGTGGAGTGCATGACTAGCTTCTTGTATTTCGCCAGGCAGCAGCCGTGGCTACCTACTTTTACTCATGTGCAGCCAACCAGCCATAAAGATTTTCTAAAAATCCTAATTCTATTGCCTGTGTGGGAGAGGAATTAAAGTAGCCACCAGTTTATATCACAAAGCAACTGGTCTGAGTTCATCTGGATAGAGCACAAATTGTACAAACCCTGAAATAACTCATGCCTATTTAAATGTGGTTTCCATAGGTTTGTCATTAACTAGTTTGTTCTATGGTTAAACTAAAAGTAGATTTATGGTTATTGGAATGTGCAGTGAATAATTTCACCAACTTGGGAAGTTTCACATGCTTGTGTTTTAATTGAAGAAACCAAAATAAAGCCCACATGCAGCAAAAGACCCACTATTATGTATTTTATTAACTTGACTACTTCAAACAAAAACTGAAATTGTATATTTTTAGAAAGAAAATTTCTAAATTTTCTTTGTTAAAAAGGGATAGATTCTTTTTCAGAAACTTGGCTATTCAAGTTGTTTTACAATTATTATTATTTTTTGTCTTCTGTTTTCTGTTTTCTAAAAGGTTCTGTTGTGTTTAGCATGTATTACAATCCTTGTTGCTACAGAACTGTGGACACGCATTGGTTGGTTTACACAGCTAAAACGTATTATGTTCATAACTTTTCTCATCAGTTTTGGATGGAACTGGATGTATCTATATAAGGTAAAAATTAATATGATTTAGAGGTCAGAATCTGATGTTTATGTTCCCCTGCAAGTAAGCATGTATAAATTATGCTGATTGCTGAATTGCAGTAAGACACAGTTAAGGTTTCCATACACGCTGCTGTTAAAACAGAATGTTTTCATGCACTTGTGCAGAACTACTTAACTAATCTATACATGTAAATCACAGCTAATTTAAGCATGCATCACAATAAGGCATGCTGTATAATGGAGAGAAAGCCAAGCCTTCTCTCACTGCCTGTCCTCCTTTTACATAACTATGAGGAGTTTGTAAGATTTTACCTCTGTTTTCATTTAAGTGCAGTATGCCCAATCATTCCAAATACAACAAATTCTGGTAATCTTAACCTTATATTTGTTTCAAACAAACTGACTTCAAACTATAGGTTATGGAGCTGGCTTGCTTCCTCAGTCCTTAGTCAAGACTGGCCACAGCTAAAAGTCCTACACACTTTATAGTAAACTGTCGTCAATTGAAAATGGAAGTGAACGCTTCCATTCTATTCCTTGATGGCTGCATTGAAGAAGGGAGCAGAAACACGTGAGCCCAGAGGAAGAAGGCTAAGCCTGTTTCATCATGATAAACTATAATTTTTCACATTTTCCAAACAGCAGTTGGCATGTTCATCTTTAATTCTATCTGTCTGATTTTAACAGAAGTACAGTAATCTTTGAATTTTCCTGTTTTATATGACAGATTTGCATACCAACAGAGTATTTCACTGGGCCCAATAGTCCGTCTTTGAAGCATTGCATCAGTTCTTTTAATTCCCTGCATCCTAGCCCCTGACTGTTGATATAATTTGAAGGGGAAGTGGCTAATACAGAGATGCCATTGTTTGGAAGCACTTCAAAATTTGCCCCATAAGCTGCCTCTTGCCATCCAAGGATGAATCACAGTGATGATGAGAACCCATTCTCCAAAACCTGCACGCAATCTGCCTTAAATAATCATAGATTTTAAAGCGGTGTTTTAAAAAGGTTGGATTGTACACTCCTGCTGTATATGAAGGAAGTCATCTTTGGAATGATACTAATTCTGCTGTTTAAGAGTTTCATTTTAATTCAAAAATGAAATTGATGTAATTATTTTTTCAAGTGTGTGTCAACATCTTTCAATATTTGTAGATAGCCTTTGCTCAGCATCAAGCTGAAGTGGCAAAAATGGGACAGTTCGATAAAGTATGTGCTGAGAAGATTCACTGGACAGATGGCCTTTACGGTGAGTAGTTTATCTCTTTTATATCACATAAGCTAACTTTTCATATCAGGTTGTTTTAGAAATCTGAATAAAATTAGAGCTTTTTAAGATAAGGATGTTTTTACAGAAGACATGAAGCAGTTCTGGAAAAGTTCAACATATTTTGTAATAATGTTCTTTCACCTGTTCCTTCATGTCAATAAAGTCTCTATGATAAGATTAAATGAAATTACATATTACTAGGAATTTGGTAGCAGACTCAGATCTAGGTACCTGCATCACTCTTGAACAAAATGTCAAACAGTGCCATCCATTGCAATTAAAACAGCAGAATGTTTAGCTGTTCTAGCAGAATGTTTTGCTTTTTCTAGCACAGCATCCCCCCAGTGTGCTATCCATAACCTTCTGAAAGAAAATGAAACTGTTTTCCAACAATTATCCATAAACTTCATCAAAAGCAGGCCAAATATCTATAAGTATCAATTTGAAGTTGATAACTGTATGCAACTAGTTCAATCCATTGTATTATAGGAGGCAAGAATTTATTTCATCAATATTGTAATATCAGTCTTTTAGTGATCAAAGGGACTAGGATAATCCAGGTGCCCTTACATAAAGCAGTAAATGTTTTTTTTACAAAGTGTGTTCATCTTTCAGCATTTATACCTGCTTAGTACAAAATTTATCTGTAATAACCTCTTCCCAAAATGAAGCAATGGCTGGACACTGCCAGGACATGGGTTTAAAAGAAGCATTAGCTGTATTGCACTGCCAGCAATTAGCTGCATTAGACAATTGCTTATTAAAGAGATGCCCAACAGACACAAATGTTTTTGCTAAATAATATTCAGCCTAAGATAGATAGATGGATGGATGTTAAAGGGGCAGTATCTATTGATCAGGCATTCTGTGATGGAGCATACAGCAGTTTCTCAAATGTCTCTGGATGTCCTAAAATGTTAGAGACCTTGCTCTAACAAGTCAAGTATGCAGAAACATTTGCCTCTTCCTCCATGTATTTCTCTAACATTTTATTCCATATGAATAAAATCTTCACTAGATGTTACTCACTTTCTAGTTTAAAATCAAGAGTTAAAAATTACTTTTCTGCTTCGTTTGTAGAATCCATTAGTTGTAGTTCATACAACAGAAGTTCTGTGGCTAGTTCTGTGTATAGTTGTATGATTTCTTGCTCTTTATAGAATGGCTTCGAAACACATGGACTGTCCAAGATGATCCTTGCCGAAAATACTATGAAACCCTATTAGTAAATCCTGTTTTATTTGTTCCTCCAACAAAGGTATTTTTCATTTCTAAGCCATTTTTAGTTTGTTTCCTAGCAAAGTTGTCAAAATTAAAGTAATTTTTGTTGCTGTTTTTTCAGGCATTGGCTGTTACATTTACCAATTTTGTAACAGAGCCATTGAAACATATAGGGCAAGGAATTGGTGAATTTATTAGAGCGCTCATGAAAGAGATCCCAGTCTTGTTACAAATTCCTGTTCTACTCATCTTAGCAGGGGCAGTTTTGGTAAGTATATACACATCATTTAAAGGGCCTAGAATTACATACATAAATTAAAGCTGTGATAAAAATACAAGCCACTGTGGATTTGGATAACAATTTGACACCAATGAGGCTACCCTAGTAGAAGTTTAAAGTCAATGCCCTATGTAGCATTATAGCAGCCTGAACAACGGGCGGACTGACCTAAAACCAATGGCTGATACTCATTTTTAATCCATGGCTGATAACTTTTATAATCCATCCTCTGGCTCAGATGACTCAAAAGGAGATTAACAATAGAATTCCCTGTAATCTAGAACAGAATCAGACATACCACCAAAGCACTCTTGCCAATGATTGATCATGTAAACAAGCACTTGAGAAAGTTATCTTGTATTAATGAAGAATACATACTATAAAGCAGGGGTGGGCAACTAATGGCCCTCCAGATATTTTGGGCTTCAGGTATCAACACTAGCCAGCAAAGACGGTGATTGAGAAATGATAGAAGTTGTAGACCAAAATATTTAGAGTGCCACAAGTTGCTTTTAAAGCATATATGAACAGAGAATTTGAAAATTCTGTATTTTGAAAGCAGTGCAAAAGCTTATGTAAAGTGAAAAATTGGAAACAGCATTTGTCAAGAGCACTTAAATGTGTGTGTCTGCTGTAGATTTTCTGCTGTGGGGCAGGAAGATCAGTTACTGCTCTGAGACAGTTAACTTACCAGGACAGACAACCACCTCCTGCACTTTTCCCAAGGAGTGGAGAAGAATCAAGACAAATACTTTATCGAAGACAGAATGGTCCAGGTGATGGTGGCTACTTGATGGAAGGCCCTGGCTGCACTGAAAGAGGACCTTATGATAGAGGAGATGCTTCAACAGAAAAATACAGCCCTAAAACATCTGAAAGTGGCAGAGAAGGCAAGATTGAGGTTTTGCAACCACATACGATAGATGCAGCAACAGAAGAACATCTGAAGTTGGCTGACCAGGTAACTGCAGAGATCTAGCTTTTGATTCAAAAGTTAAACTAAATTCTAGGTAGTATCACAGCTAAATGACTTTCTTTAGTAACTTTCTTTTGAAGTTCTATGTCAGGGTGACCAAACCAAGGCTTGGGAGCCACTTTAAAGTTATTTTATGGCTTGCCGCCTACTGCTGAAGGAGTCCGTGAGTGCTCATTTGCTGCTCACCACCTGCCACCACCTCCTGCAGGTGCCTGCTTGCCACTCGTCACCTACCACTGCCACCCATGGGCCCCAGCTTACACCTCTCAAACATCTGACATTTACCATACATGCCTTTACTTTGAGCAAGTCTGGCCACCCCATTATATGTGATACATTTTCCAAACTGAAATACACCCACAATAAAATGCCCATATTAATAATCTCTCCTGAGATACTATTTTTCTCAGACCAAGGTACAACATACTGAGTAGTATTTTGGCATGTTGCTTGCCACATTTTGTGGGGCTGTAGTGCACTGGGGTCACTTTTAGGATAAAAATCTATTGCAGATTGAATAATTGGCAGTGTAATTCTATACATGTATACTAAAAAGGAAGCCTCCCAGAATTCAGTGGGATTTACTGTCAGGTATATGTGCACATGATTGCAGGCTTAATGATATGATCTCTTTGTTTCAGAGTAAACTGACTTCAGAAAAAGAAAACTCACAAAAGCAAGAAAAAACCAGTGAAGACAATCTGGTAAGTTGACATATAGAGTGAGTGAGTGAGAGTGAGACAGAAGGGGCTTCCTGAGCCATCTGGTCTGACCTGACTCCAGCCGGCCCTGCTTATGACTTGCCTACCATAGGTGTGTTTAGTTCGCCTAAAATGATTCTTAACTTTCAAATGTTGCAAGAAATGCACTTTATTTCTAGTATACTAGAATGTTAAAATAATTTGTATTACTAATATAATAGTTGCAGCTTCAGACCTGCTATTCCTTAGGCTAGCATATTCATTATGGCTGGCTACCGAACGCATGGAGCTGTAGGTCTTTTTTCTGTCTTAATATGTCTAAGATTGAGTCCTAAGTGGGGTATTTTTGCTGATGTTAAATATAATATTGTTTGTTCCATAAACAATTCACTGAGACAAGTACCTTCTTATAGGGTACAATGGGCCCTAAATCAAACAATCTGGCTACTGATAGAATAGTAGAACTCAACACCAATAAAAGATTGGATGAAACAAGCATTACTGAACTCAGCACACCTAGGCATATACAAAAACCTACAAAAAGCAATGGAGATGACGTGGACTGTAATATTAAAGAGGACAGTAGCTTGAAGCTAGATGCTCTAGAGACAAGAGGATTTAAAAGGAAAGGAAGCAGCTCATGTGGATTGGAAGAACCCACAGTGAACATTGCAGAAAATTTGAGCTTCACCGTAAGTTTCACATAATATCTTGCTTTTACATTACAGAAAAGGGAAGTACAGCTTAGTTAATTGCCTTTCCTAGTGAGGTAGCTGTTTTTCCCTCTTGGCACTCTCTTGCAGCAAATAGAAAGAATTCTACAGCAATACCAGCAAAGCAGATGTTAAGTGAAGCTGTATCACTTTTTTAGTGTTCTTGTCATATTCTATGCTACATAATCTTTCCCAGATCCAGGAAGGGAACCCTCTCCTTCCTTCAGCCAGATCCCTGATTCCAAAAATTCAGTAAATAGACAAATGTATTTAAAAACAGAAGTACATAATCTATTGTTATCTAAATTCTTTATACTTCTGATTCCTACTATACTTCTTTTAGGGGCTGGGGGGCAACATAAAGGGAACAAGTATGTCAAATCCAGTAGACATACATTGCTTCCTTCAACTCAAGTTCAGATGTGTTGGTTTATACTCCCCTGAATACTTATATCTAAGAAATATTAACACTCATCCTAAGCACAGTTATTTGGGACTAAGAGGCATCTTTAAAAAAAAAAAACCAAATAAAACGCTTTTGGTATGGACACCTCTCTCATGCATAGCTTACATAGTTCTCTTCCACTCCATTGTCACCCTCAAGACAACCCTGTGAGGTAGGTTAGGCTGAGTGTTTTTAACTGGTCCAAAGTCACCCATGGCTGAAAGGAAACCAGAGCCCATCTCCAACTCTCTAGCCACCACAGCAACACATTGCCAGTAGTGGAACAGAAACTCTTTTCTTCTTTTGTTTCCATTCTATTTCTCCCCGGAACCCCAAACCCTTTTACATCTTGCAGGGTTCAAGATGTACGTTTGCAAGGGTAATACAGTATATCACAGAAGTGAGTACACCCCTCACATTTTGTAAATGTTTTATTGTATCTTTTCATGTGACAACCCTGAAGAAATGATACTTTGCTACAGTGTAGTGAGTATAGAGCTTATTTAACAGTGTAAATTTGCTGTCCCCTCAAAATAACTCAACACACAGCCATGAATGTCTAAACCGCTAGCAACAAAAGTGAGTACACCCCTAAGTAAAACTGTCCAAATTGGGCCCAAAGTGTCAATATTTTGTGTGGTCACCATTATTTTCCAGCGCTGCCTTAACCCTCTTGGGCATGGAGTTCACCAGAGCTTCACAGGTTGCCACTGGAGTCCTCTTCCACTACTCCTCCATGATGACATCACGGAGCTGGTGGATGTTAGAGACCTTGCGCTCCTCCACCTTCTGTTTCAGGATGCCCCACAGATGCTCGATAGGGTTAGGTCTGGAGACATGCTTGGCCAGTCCATCACCTTTACCCTCAGCTTCTTTAGCAAGGCAATGGTCGTATTGGAAGTGTGTTTGGGGTTGTTATCATGTTGGAATACTGCCCTGCGGCCCAGTCTCCGAAGGGAAGAGATCATGCTCTGCTTCAGTATGTCACAGTACATGTTGGCATTCATGGTTCCCTCAATGAACTGTAGCTCCCCAGTGCCAGTAGCACTCATGCAGCCCCAGACCATGACATTCCCACCACCATGCTTGACTGTAGGCAAGACACACTTGTCCTCACCTGGTTGTTGCCACACACGCTCGACATCATCTGAACCAAGTAAGTTTATCTTGGTCTGATCAGACCACAGGACATGGTTCCACTAATCCATGTCCTTAGTCTGTTTGTCTTCAGCAAACTGTTTGCAGGCTTTCTTGTGCATCATCTTTAGAAGAGGCTTCCATCTGGGATGACAGCCCTGCAGACCAATTTGATGCAGTGTGTGGCGTATGGTCTGAGCCCTGACAGGCTGACCCACCACCCCTTCCACCTCTGCGGCAGTGCTGGCAGCACTCATACGTCTATTTCCCAAAGCCGACCTCTGGATATGACACTGAGCACGTGCACTCAACTCCTTTGGTCGACCATGGCGAGGCCTGTTCTGAGTGGAACCTGTCCTGTTAAAACCACTATATGGTCTTGGCTACCATGTTGCAGCTCAGTTTCAGGGTCTCGGCAATCTTCTTATAGCCTAGGCCATCTTTATGTAGAGCAACAATTCTTTTTTTCAGGTCCTCAGAGAGTTCTTTGCCACGAGGTGCCATGTTGAACTTCCAGTGACCAGTATGAGAGAGAGCAATAACACCAAATTTAACACACCTGCTCCCCATTCACACCTGAGACCTTGTAACACTAACGAGTCACATGACACCGGGGAGGGAAAATGGCTAATAATACCCAATTTGGACAGTTTCACTTAGGGGTGTACTCACTTTTGTTGCCAGCGGTTTAGACATTGATGGCTGTGTGTTATTTTGAGGGGACAACAAATTTACATTGTTATACAAGCTGTATACTCACTACATTGTAGCAAAGTGTCATTTCTTCAGGGTTGTCACATGAAAAGATAAAATATTTACAAAATGTGAGGAGTGTACTCCTGTGATATACTGTATGTATACATCTGGCATGGAAAGAAAAAAGGCAGAAGGTAGTTGGAGTAGAAAGACTGGGAGTGTGACAGCTGCATTGGGTCCATTTTTCTTCTACAGATTTGAAAACTTTATGATGCTGTAATTAATTTAAAACTGGAGGCTTTTCCTCTAGCCTTGCAAAAGTACAGAGGCACTAGATTTGCCTGTTTTTGGCTTACTATTTAAGGCTTTGACTCTCCAGTGAATAAAAGTTATGATTTGAAACAACTTGAAATAGTAGTGGGCTTGTAAGTACATCTGTGAATAAGCTTTTCAACATATGAATCTTCTCATTACAGGAACAAAATCAGAGGAACACCGCTTCCTGATAATCTCCACTTTTACCAAGGATTTTTTTTTTTAATGCTTCGGGTTTAAAATCAAACACACAGAGAACAAAGTGCAAACATTACTGAATTCAGAGAATGGGTTACTTTATCACTTGCTAATACCCCAGTACTTTGTTGCAAATTACTTAGGTTAATACAGGCACAATGAAATCTTAATTATGTTTATAAAGATTTTTTCAATCCATTTTAAAAGCATCTTTTGGAAGAACTGCAGTTAGACTTGAATTGTCCATGACCTGCTCTATGGTTTTTATATTTACTTCTACTTGTACAGTTAAAAAACTTCAACATGCATGTATATCATGTAATTTACTATATGTTCTAAGGGCCCTTGAATATAATTTAGCCACCCATCTAACTTGATCAGCAAACAATCTCATGCATTAATTTGAGCAGGGCCTGAAAGACCAGGTTGAAATGGAGACCAAACAGTCAATGCCCCTTTTATTCTGTCCACTCATTATTACAGATAATAATGGCTTTTTTGAGTCCCTTGTGTATGCTACTTGCTGCATGGGAGGCAACACAAAACACAGAGAATGTAATCCTAGTAATGTTTTGATGGAAAAACGCCCAACGCCTAGCTAGCTTGAACATGTCTAGCTAAATATGACTTATTTCTGTCTAAACGTGCATAGGAGTATGCCCTAAGGCAGACTTCCTCAACCTAGTATTCTCAAGATGTTTTGGACTTTTAACTCTCAGCATTCCTGACAGTTGGCCATATGAGTTGGAACTGATGGGAAGTGAATTCTAAAACATTTGAAGGACATGACACTGATAAAGAGCAAACTGTTAGGTCAATTATAGGGAATTATTGGGGAGGGCTTTTTATAATGTTCCAGCATTATTCATGGTAGGGTTGGGGGTTTTAATGGCTAATTTGCCTGTATGTTGGCTTACCTGGGGAGAAAAAGGACTGGGACACATATGCAATAAACTCTCACTACATTCAGCTAATGACCACTACAACTTTCTAAGATACAAAATATCCTACAAATGTTAGTTCAATTTCAGAATCCAGACCTGATTATTAAAACTTAGAAACACGCATGTGTGTATGCACTGTTTGTTTTTAATAATTTGATGGTACGGTGGGCTGAATGGAGTCTTCAAGTTGTTTGTCCATGGCTTAAGGTAACAGCCTTCCTTTTGCACCACCTTAATATTGACTTACAGATAAAACAGCAGGTTTAGCCAGTATTAAGATTTATTTTTCTCAAGTATTTTTTTTTTAAAAAACAATGTTACATTTTGAAGCTTTTATACTATGTAAAAGTTAGAAAAAAACATTGAGGTGAGCTCTACAGTTCCTATCTATATACATCATTTCAGCATAATTTTTTTCACGAACTTGTGACAAACGTACCTTAGGCACTACTTCCATTAACAAAAATGGTGTATTTACAGAAAGAAAATAAACAGAGAACTATGTTCTACCAATAAAGACCCCTGAATTCAAACAGTGGTAGCAAAGAGTGTACCATATATTATGTAAATTTACATCCCAAATGTTTATATTTTTCCCTTAAAGGCATTATTTCCTGCATATAAAAATGTTTTACAGTACTACATAATCCCCTGATGTCATTGTTCTTTTGCGTAGTCTCCAAGAAGTCTTATTAGCTTGAATTCGGTCTCTTCAAACCAGATGGTAGAAAGACTCTTTGTTCATCCATTCTCTTACCCTGTGATCTCAAAATAAGGCTAAAGAAATCTTCATCAGGTACAGTTGGTCCTTTTGTGATGTTAGGGGGTGGTGCACATCTCTGATCATCTAGTCTGGAGCCCTAAAAAAAGCAAAGCCACGTCCATTGTTTATATTATTCTACAATTCAATTTTATCCTATTCCCTCATGTGAAATCTTAAACTCAGTTTGGGTATTTGGTAGAACCCTTGTGACCACAGTCTTTCAGCAGGTTAAGGACTCTGAACTGCTTTTTACTTAAGTACTCATTTGACAGCCATAAGCAACAAGGAATTTATGAGATTGGGCAAACTGACAGTGGAAGGATACTCCATACCTATCTTGCACCTGACACAGATACCACACCTCAGTAGGGAAGTCTACTGCATACCCAGCATAGAACTTGTGACTTACTTAAAGCATTGGTTCAGAGAGCTAAGGGCTTAGGGCTTACATTTTAAAGACTGCAATTGTATGCACACAACTAACAGTGATTTCCATTGCCTTAGTTTTAAGCATACATTAAGGTTGAATGTTGCCGCTTTGGAGATAATCTAATGAATGATAATGCATCGTGTACTCCACTTTTCTATGATTTTTTCCTATAAAACTATATGGCATAATGAAAATATAACCAAACATTTTTTGAAAAAACCACAGCAGCTAAAATGTATTACACTTAAAACAGGCAGTACAATTAAATACTACACATTTAAAGCCTGCTGAAACACAGTTGTCTTCCATTTTTTCCTGGAAGATGCACAATGAAAGCACACAAGCTGCACTTGGATTTCAAGTGGGAGAGCATTACAAAGTTGCTCCTGTCTCATGCTCACTCAACAAACTTCCTGAGATGACACTGAGAACAAGGCCTCTGAAATGAAATTTAGTTACCAGGCCATATATGGAAACAAGTATTCCCTAATTTATACTGGTTCTAAGTAATGTAGGGCTTCAAAAGCTAGAATTAACACTCTGAACTGAACCCAGAAACAAACAGTGGAGTTGACAAAGAATCAGTTACTGTCGGAATTCATCCCTGCCTCGCAGCATTCATGCTGTAGCTAGGCACGCTATGCTCAGCCAATAGTATTGTAATTTACCAGCCAATAGTATTGCAACTTACTCAGCTAATAGCATTGTATTTCACCTGTGTAACCATATAAGGCTTGTGACCATATATAGCAATAAGTACGCTTCCTGTTACCCGCGCCTGCGCATAAGCAATCAATAAGCCTTTGTGAATCCTGCACTTGCGCACAATCAACTAGGGTGTTCA